GTGGTGGCCATTTTGGATATTTAAAGTGACTTGAGGGTGCAGTCATTTTGAATGTTTACAAGCAGTGGTGGCCATTTTGGATATTTAAAGTGACCGAGAGTGCAGCCATTTTGAATGTTTACAAGCATCGGTCATTTTGGATATTTAAAGTGACTGAGGGCGCAGCCATTTTGAATGTTTACAAGCAGTGGTGGCCATTTTGGATATTTAAAGTGACCAAGGGTGCAGCCATTTTGAATATTTACAAGCAGCGGTCATTTTGGTTATTTAAAGTGACTGAGGGTGCAGCCATTTTGAATGTTTACAAGCAGTGGCCATTTTGGATTTTAAAGTGACAGCGTTCTCATTTGGATTCCAGGGACCTAAGAATAAGCTCTGTTTGCCAAGGACAGCAGGTACATATGGGAGGCTGACAATGGGAAAGGAGACAGGTAGTGAGTGTATTTGCTGCTAACTAGCAAATAGAGGAGCACAGTACCCTGCTTACTTAGATAAAATCCAAAGAAGAGAAAAATTGTGGGCAAGTCACTTCAACATACAATCACCAATTAAATATAAACACAAAAACGTCATAATGCATCAGAGACAATAGAGCATCACAGTCCACAAAAAGAAGCAAGATAAACCAGGAGAAACAAGGGACCAGGATACAGACCCAAAACTCATCCCTGATGAAGATGCAGCATTGGAACTCCCTGATAAGAAATTCAAAAGGTACCTTCAACAAATTGAGAAACAGATCAAGGAAAACACTGACAAAATTGAGGAAAACACAGACAAAACCTTAGAACAATTTTGAAAGACAATAGAAGAACAAAATGACCAAATAAATGAAAAATTAGAAATGATACAAAATCTACACATAAAAATCCAGAAGATTAATACTAAATTTTCAGAAATAGACAACACATTTAATGGGCAAAGGAGTAGAATTGAATCCATGGAAGACAGAATTAGTGAGATTGAAGGCAAATATCTCAATACTTCTTTAGAAAGCAATCAATCAGAAAAAAGATCAAAACAAAATGAAGAAAGCCTGTGGTTCATGTGGGATACCATCAAAAGGAATAACCTATGTGTAATTGGAATTCCAGAACAGGAAGAGACAAAACCAAAGAAAAATGGTCGAAGATTTGTTGGAAGAGAATTTTCCTGGTATGATGAAAGATGAGAATATATCCATTCAAAAAGTCTGACAAACCCCAAACAGGATAGACCCCAAAAGAAAATCACCAAGACATATCATCATCAAACTCACCAAAACCAAAGACAAAGAAAGAATCCTGAAAGCATCACAGGAAAAACAAAAAGTTACCTACAAGGGGCAATCAATAAGAATAAGCTCAGATTTCTTGGCAGAAACCGTGCAGGTGTGAGAAGACAATGGGTTGGTATATATAAAACCCTGAAAGAGAAAAATTTCCAACCAAGAGTTATGTACCCAGCAAAACTGTCCCTCAAATATGATGGTGAAATTAGGTCATTTCCAGAGAAGCAGAAATTAAGGGAATTTGTTAAAACCAGACCAACCTTACAAGACATACTAAAGGGAGTCCTTTGGACAGAGAACAAACAACACCAAACAACAACTGACCATTAACACACATGGTGACATAACCCAGAAACCAACCCATTTATGGAAGTATCCAAAGTAAATAAGCCTACAAGACTGTAAACAGGGAACCAGAGACATCAGTTGACAAATGAGTACAACTACAAACCAAAAGGAGGGAAAAAACTGTGTAGTTACAGAACTTCTAAATGGTAGTGAAATGGAGACAACTACAAGATAGAATGGACTGTTCTAAACTTGGGAAGAAAACTATAAATCACAGGGTAACCTCAAAGAAAAATGATAAAGCTTCACATCAAAATAAAAAAGATGACCAGCACAAATATTTATCAAATACTAAAACAATAGCAACGAAGGAACATGAGTCAGAAACAAAACGAGCTCAGCACAGAAAGTTATATGCAACAATGAATTCAACACCACAAAATACATAACAAAAATGACAGCAACAAGTTCATACTTGTCGATAATTACATATCTGGCAAGGGACATGTCTCTAAGATTTATAGAACACTCCAACACCTCAACAGCAAAGGAATTAACAATCCAATTGAAAAATGGGCAGGAGACATGAATAGACACTTCACCAAGGAAGATATTCAAGTAGCCAGCAAATACATGAAGAGATGCTCATGATCATTGGCCATCAGAGAGATGCAAATGAAAACAACAAAGAAATACCATCTCACCCCAGCACTGATGGCAAAGTTCAACAAGACAGAAAATAACAAATGCTGGCAAGGATGTGGAGAGACTTAGACTCTCATACACTGGTGGTGGGACTGTGAAGTGTTATAACCACTGTGGAAAGCAGTATGGTGATTCCTTGTGATTCCTTAGAAAGCTGGAATTGGAGATACCATTTGACCCAGCAATCCCATTACTAGGTATATATCCTAGAAGGTGAGAGCCAGGACAGGAACAGATACATGCACATCCATGTTCATTGCAGCACTATTTACAATAGCAAAAAGATGGAAACAACCTATGTGCCCATCAGCGGAAGAGTGGATGACCAAAATATGGTAGTCACACAATGGAATGCTATGCAGCACTAAAGAATAATTTAGAGTCTGCAAAACACCACATAACATGGATGAACTTGGAGGACATTGTGCTGAGTGAAATAAGTCAATCACAGAAGGACAAATATAGTATTACTTTGTTGTGGAGGGTTAAGGAAAGTTTTATATATAGAGGGAAACTTTTTTTGTTGGTTGCCAGGGGTGGGGGGGGTGGGGAGGGAACATTGCAAAAAAAAAAAAATGTATTGACCCATGTTACTTTAATTGTGTGTATTGCACTGTACATAAATTTTTTTCAACAAAAATGTATTTTAAAAAAATCAAAGGAGATATTATTGCATTTGGCTTATCTGCTGCAAAAGAACTCTATTGTTTTTTTTGTTTTTTTTTTTTAATAAAAAATAAAAGCAAAATTGTCACTTTGAGAACTAAGGTGCACTTGACCCACACCATGGTATTTTCAATTGCTTCATGTGCATTTGAAACCCAGACAATGAATAATGAAGATGGCTGGCAGTTCAAACTCACCAGCCACTCCTCTGAAGGAAGGTTGGACAATCTACTTATTGTTGTTGTTGTTGTTTGCCGTTGAGTCGGCCCCGACTCATAGCGACCCCTCCTTGGGTTTCCGAGGCAGTATCACTACGGAAGTAGGATTGCCCAACCTTCCTTCCGAGGA